AGATTATTGTGGAGCGTCTGCGATACAAGTCCGAGTGAATTGGTTGTTGCTATGGTAACAATAATGTGTGCATTAATAGAAAACTTCTAATGTTCCTTGCAGCATGAACTACTGTCAATCCCTCCTGACCAATCAGAATGAAGAATTCAAAAGCGTAGGCGTATAAGGAAGAAGAAACATCACCTTTAAGGAAACTGTAGTTCCTTTTCCATTGTCTGCTCCGTGCTTGAGGTGATGAGCACCAACAGTGTCTCACACACTAGAAATGGAAACTTTGGTTAATAAATACACTCACCGAGCACTTTAATAGGAACACTATACTAATAAAGGGTAGGGCCTCCCTTCGCTCTCAAAACAGCCTCAATTCTTCGTGGGATGGATTCCACAAGATGTTGGAAACATTCCTCTGAGACTGTGGTCCATGGTGACATGATTGCCTCACACAATTCGTGCAGATTTTTCAGGTGCACTTTCATGCAGTGAATCTCCCGTTCTACCACATCCCAAAGGTGTTCAAAGGCCACTGAAGAACTCACTGTCATGTTCATGAGACCAGTTTGAGATGACGTTTGCTTTGTGACATGGTGCATTATCATGCTGGAAGTAGCCATTAGAAGATGGTAAATTGTGGCCATGAAGAGATGCACATGGTCAGCAACAATACTCAAATAGACTGTTGCATTCAAGCGATGATTGATTGGTATTAACGGGCTCAAAGTGTGCCAAGAAAACATTCCCCACACCATTACACCACCTCCACCAGCCTGGACTGTTGACACAAGGCAGGTTTGATGTTGGCACCAAATTCTGACCATACCATCTGTGAACCTCAGTGGAAATCGAGATTCATCAGACCAGGCTACATTTTTCCAGTCTTCAACTGTCCAGTTTTGGTGAGCCTGTGCCCACTGCAGCCTCAGCTTTCTGTTCTCGGCTGACAGAAGTGGAACCCGATGTGGTGTTCTGCTGTTGTAGTCCATCCGCCTCAATGTTTGGCATGTTGTGCATTCTGAGATGCTTTTCTGCTCATCACAATAGTACAAAGTGGTTATCTGAGTTACTGTCAGCTCGAACCAGTCTGGCCATTGTCCATTGACCTCTCTCATCAACAAGGTGTTTCCATCTGCAGAACCGCCGCTCACTGGATGTTTTTTCTTTATTGCACCATTCAGAGTAAACTCTAGAGACTGTTATGGGTGAAAATCCCAGGAGATCAGCAGTTATAGAAATACACATACCAGCCTGTCTGGCACCAACAATCATACCAAGGTCAAAATCACCAAGATCACATTTTTCCTCCATTCTGATGGTTGATGTGAACATTTTTTTACTCTTTTTTACCCAAAGCTGCTGGCTGGATCTGCATGATTTTATGCATTGCACTGCTGCCACATGAATGAGCAGGTGTACAGGTGTTCCTAATAAACTGCTCAGTGAGTGTAGTTACTAACCAGGCAGCTTATAGATGTGGTTTGGCCATTGGTATAACTAGTTGTGAAAGTTAGCAAATAATAATAATAATAATGATAATAGAATAAAGAAAAGCGTGTCTTACCCCACGAAGGATACTGAACCTCACTCCAAGCAGCATCTTTAAACCTGACATCAATATAACCTGGGATTACAATATCATATCCATTTAGAGTTAAATCACCTCATCTGTGTCTCCTAGCTCATAAAAACTATTATCGGTGCTGTTTATGAAGAAGGGAGTGTTTCTAAATAATAACATAAGCATCCCATTTATTTAGAAAGTCGCAGCTAAGTTTATACAACGCTATTTCTTAACTAACTCATGACATTCTATTAGCTATTATTGCACATGTGATGTGCATCACCTAAATGAGACCGCTGGAAACAAGGCTAAGCGTGATACTATCCTATGTACTTGCTAATGTATGAGAATTCTCCTAAACACTGGCTGTGCCAAAAATAGATAAATAAATAAATAAATCAGTCAAGATAGAATTCAGACCTTGCGTCATTATTTGACTGAAACAATCATTTGTCTCGTTTTTGTCACGATTTTTTAAAGAACAGCAAGAAAGCGTGCATTCCCTATATTCACCTGCAGGGGGCAGCATTTTACTGCTAGTAATATAGTACTCTATATACATACATACATACATACATATGTGTATATAGAGAGAGAGAGAGATTTGAACACACTCAAAGCCTCAAAGCCTTAACACCACCACAAATAGCTCAACTAGCCTGCAATAATTCAATGCAATCTTTTAGTGGGAGTTAACTCAGTGGTTGAGGTGGATGAATCAGTGCAAGCATGTTAAACTAGTTGTGGTGGCTCAGTGCATAAGGCTTCAAATTCCAGATCAGAAGACTGGGTGGTTAAAGCCCAGCACTGCCATGGTTGGGTTCTTGAGTAAGACCTTTATCCTTCAGGTCAGCTGCATCAAGTGTAAGTGTTTACTGGCAACCCTGTAACAATTCAATTTCATTTCATAATAATTATGAACAAATTACG